TAGAAAACTGTTTCTTTTTCTAGATTTTTTGGTCGATACAGTTTGTTTTTCTATACTCGAACTCTCAGGAGAAATCTGAATTCCGGCCCAACCACTGATTTTCAAGATCTGGCTTAGATCTCATTTTCATCCCATTTATCCATTCGCATCAAACTTATCTTAGAAACCAGCGGTTTTGGGGTATAAAACAGTTGCTCCCTGTTCTTCGAAGGGAGTGAGGGAGTTCCACAAAAGAACACTTCTTTCTATCTATTGATGAAAAAATAAAACTGAAGCGCTTTTAGATAGTTCATCAAATAGTGTGAAAAAAGCTCAACTCTATGACAGGTGAACGGAAGGAGACTTTGGATACGTTGTCGATATTGCTGTGTACTTGATTCAAACTCAAGAAGTTTAAGAAAGAACGACTGACTTATAACGAATGAGAAAATTATCTATTTCATGGGAACTATAGCTGTTGTTTCCCGCAAACTTGATTACATCATCTTCTCGAAGAAAAAACCTCAGTAAAACATGATATAATCGACTTAGTCACAAACACTAAAAATAGTAAAAAATTTGTTATTTTCTTGAATCTTAATTCTTAGGTTTTGAAATATTTTTGGGCCCTGATACTGCTTGCGTCCACGTGAGTGAGAATTTTGGTGTGTTAACATTTTTTTATGATAAAAATCAGCTTTTCAAATGGTAAGAGGTTAAGAAAGTATACGAAGGCGCGAAAAAAGTGACTTATCTCGTGCATTTTCATGTGATCTGTCATGCTAGCGCTATTTGAGGTCAGAAATGTATCCTATGTCGGGTGGGGTGGTCTCCAACACAGCGCAGGTGAAAAAACAAAAATTTTGCCGATGATTCATTCACACTCATATCTCGAGTACTCAAATACAAACAGTTAAAAATGTTTACTCTTTATTGGGAATGTGACAATTTTTATCCCAAAATCAATCAAATGTCTGAATAAATAAAAAAATGAAATGCGACAAGACATGCATAGAACTATTGAGGCTATAACTATATAAAGGTGAACATGCACATAAATATACAAAACAAAAAGCAACAACAATAACAGAATAAAAGTATCCACTACAACTTTGTATCATCACTATTTTATTAAATAGATAAATACTGCTCGTCGACTTGACAAATATTCGTTATGTACCATTGGGCATTAAATTAATTTGATCGGCATCGAACTTAGACATTAACAATTTTTTTCCTATGCGTCCTTATAACCTAGATATCATGGTGAAGTAAACAAACTGTATGATACACTAAATCATAGAAAATATTTAATGTTAACTAAACCAGCTTGATTTCGACTACTATAATTATACATGGAGGACTTCATCAGCAGTAGTTTGTATCATTCATTTTCATACTGAGAATGATAATGGTTCATAGCTAAAGTATTTTGAATTGTTCTAACATTAATGAGATTCGATAGCTGCAAATAAAAAAGTTTCTTCAAGATTACACTACAAAGACTAAAACTGAAAGATGCGGTTTTTGTCTTTCAACAATAATTATAATAAGAAAAGAACGCCTTGTACACTATTATGATTTATCCATGTACTTCAAAGACATAACGTTATTCAACCGATTTGATACGGTAATATTACTTGTCACTCAAAATGTGTCAAGAAAATGTGTTTCTCTCACCATTCGTTTAAAATGCTAAATAACCCTTGATTTTCACGTTTATTTTGTCGAACAAAAACCATCACGTGTTTTAGTTTTTTTCGTTTATAACTTTTTTTACAAAAAAAGAATAATATTAATTAATCATATTAATATAAACCTAAAAATAATGATTGTCGACAAATATAGCAACAATAAAGAAATAGAAACTGAATAAATAACTGCAAACTGTTCCATGGTATAAATTGATAGAGAACAAACAAAAAAAAAATGAAATTTTTTATATTTACATACATATTACATCACAAAAAATTAAAAAAAATATATAAAATACACCGGAATAGTATTAGAAAACAAATTTAAAAATAAACAACAATAAATGAGCAATTGAAAAAATGCTTTGGATGAGTTGCTACAACAAACGAATTTTAAATGAACAAAAATCATTTTTCATTATTTATTGTGCGGAATTTGTGTAATTTTGACTATAATCACCGATTTGAATACTGACTTTAGTTAATTCTTGTAGTACATCGGTAACCTAGAAAAAAGTAAAATAATTATATAATAAAAATAATCTTCACATCTACAATAAAAACCAACAACAATATACATACATTTTTCAATGCATGATGTGTACTAATTAATACTAATCTTAATCCTGTTAATTGTTTTTGATAAAATTGCTCTTGTCGTTGTAATAATATAGTCCATTCAGAATCTTTTTGTGAAAATCTAAAACAAAAAATATTTGACTATTTCATATGAAAGAGTACGCCTCTAAATAGGTGTGATTCGAAATAAATGAATAAAAGAAGACAAATATCTATGTATTCTTGTAAAAATAAATTAATATTAACACTTACGGTTGTCCTTTGAGCCAGACTGGATAACTCTGTTCTAATCTATCAGTCATTGTATCAATTTGATTTAATTTAAAACATAAAAACACATTAATAATTAATAATAAAAGCAACCTAAATAGAAGTTAATGTATTTAAATGTGACACAGTTCAATAGAGAATTAAAACGTACGTGATAATAAAAAGAGACTTCATTCTCTCATTTGATAACCATTCTGTCCATGATGTTGGTTGTGATTGATTTGTGATTAGTGATGAAGACGATAAAGATTGAATAGATATAGAAGATGGAGATGATGATAACTGTCTTGACTCTTGTCGAGCTACAATTAATATAAAATATTATTTATTTTAAAATATAAAATAAAAATAATTCTATTACATACAATTAGCTTGTTCATATTGATTTGTTTCTTGTTGTTGTTGTTGATTGGATGTTAATTGACGTAACAATGGTGCTTGTTGTTTTCGTGCTGATGGTTTATCTTGTTTTTTTAAACGTTGAGCACTGTTCGAACTAGCATGAGGACGAGATGATTCATTATCAATTCGTTTCACTAAAAAGATCGATAAACAAATATAAATCTTCAATGGAAAACTGTGAATGTGAGAGATATTGCACAAACACTCAAGAAAAAAATTAATAATTGGTTTATTCCATGTGTTCACGCGGGTGTAAGTCGTCATACTAAACACGAGAAGCATACGTTTGTCCAGGCGGGCATTCAATTGTAGAGAGGAATCAAGATCACGTATCCATGTACAAAAAGAAAATATTTCTCTCGATTTGATAGGAAAACTAGATATACACCAGTTCAGTTATTTCCGACTGTTTTTTTTTTTTGAAACATCCAGAAAAATTATTCCAATAAATAAGTAGAACAAACATGTTTCTACAAAATGACACGTTTCACAAAACTGAGTGAGTCTTCATAACAGCATTATAAAAATTTTCCTAGATGTCCTAATATCAGTTATATAACTGGTGTATGCCTAAGGAAAATAAAAACATACTTGATAGAACGCAAGAGCGTGGATCTAGGTGTGCACATAATTCTTAGAAAAACCATTTAATATATCTTGACGACTTTCTATTTTCAGAATATTCAAATATCAATTCTGGTTTGCTATCTCATCGAAAATCTAATAATTTTATATTCACAGACTAAAAATCTACAAAAAGCATTTTTATATCAAGAAAGGCGATGAACTGTGTTAGAGTGGAATTGTCCTTATTTTTGACCTCAAAAATAAAAAAGGTTGTATGTGTATGCTGACATCAATAAATATAGGCATTTCTATAATTTGAAAGAAGATCCCATGAACAACTGTTGCTTTTCACTATGAATTACATACCGTTAATTTCATACAACAACAAAAGAACAAAACAGTAAGCATCTGCTGATAATGACAGAACCTCCAAATCGGGTCTATTATCTATAGTAACTGGGAGATAAAGTGATATCAAATGCATAAATACCTAATGGAAAGAGAGATGGAATTAAAAATATCTCTTTCTCCATTAACAGAAAGCATAGTTTTCAAAAAGTTTATTAACAGTGAAATAGTATTTCTTTCAAAAACTAAAACAAAAAGTTGTATCATTCAGAAATGTTTTAAAAAGGATAAAACGATTTCGTATGATACAAAAATTTTATTGCAATAGTCACACATTTTTAGTTTCATGCCTTTATATTTTTGTCATAGAAGAATTTTCAAAACTAATTTTGTTCGTACTGGTAGTACGATAAATTTCACTGTTAAATAGTCTCTAGAAAAGAAGGCGTATAAAATTTAGATAGGAAAAATAGCAGTCAAATGATAAATAATGTTTATGTGCAAAGCAAAATAATTAAAATATAAAACTGTTTAAACTTACTTAGATCTTGAAATGAATCTTGTAATGCAGCCATGGCATTTTTTTCGATAAATGCTGAACAAAAAACAACATCTTTTAATTTTTTACATAAATGTTTAAATTTTAATTGTATTTTTTTCATTTTTTAAGATTAATTGACGATTGTAAATTAACTAAATTTTACAATTTATGATGACGATCGAGAATAGAAAGAAGAAGAATGTATATAAAGTCAAAAGTTTTTTTTGGTGCTTGATTTCTATTTGTTGAATCAACATGACACCATAAACAGCATACTGCTAAAAACCTATATACATACGAGAAGAAAAGAAAGAAAGAAAGTAAGAAAATGCTTTCACTATTACTATTTAGCGTTACCAATAGAATTTTACAATAAAACAAATCAAAACCACCGATCCAAAGATAATAGCCTATGTGGTTACGTTCGTTATGACATAAAAGTAATAACCATCAAATGTAGAAAACAAAACGTATCGAGTTAAGTATTCAGTTTCTAGACATGTATATAACCGATATCAGGGTATCTGAAAAAATTGGGGTTCACATGGTTATTAAGAATTATCTCGAGCGACGGAATGTCTCATTTTGTAGAGAAATATTTGGTCTATCCATCCATTTGCACTGAACAAAAAAAACTATAATATAGTTTTCCTTTTCTTGAGAATTTCTGAAGAGAAGTGAACAGTTGTATAACTGTACCTGATAACTAGTCACCAGTTATCAGGTACAGTTACGTTATTCTAGATTGTTCATATTGTGTCACAATTAACTTTAAACTTTTTTTCTTTTCACACGTACCTAGAGTACACATTTCTCTACAAAATGAGAAATTTCGTTTTACCAACTCTGATTCATACTTGCACCTTTGTCATCCTCGAACGCACTCGCATTCAACACGCTGCATCCGAACACTGCACTTCTGCTCAAAGACAAATGCTGACGTCAAACGTTTTGCGTCTAGCTTTTACAAAACTATATGTACCCAAAAGCCGCTTGTCATGGGACATTACGTTTCAATACCTTTCCATTCACTACACTGTCTGAACATTCGCACACATCACTATGTACACTCAGCCGGTTGCTGGTCCCAGGGGATCAAGGACCTTCTTGCGTGGACTTTTCCTCCACTTACACACACGCAACATTTTTTCTACGCCATGCAACAGATTCAACTCATACTTCCAAGAGTGAAAACGCACCATACGAGTAGATTATGATAAAAATTGCAGTCAGAGGTATGTAATCATTCAAGAGTTACTGATGTTGCAAAGAGTGTTAATAGTTGAAGTAGCCTTGCACGGAAGTAGGCACAATTACAGAATAATCTACAGGTTCATATTTAGTCTTTGATAGAAAGGATTCTTGTCCTATGGTGTTTTTGTATCTATTTTAACTCTGAAATCCGGAAAAATTATTTATTATTGCCGTAAACAACTGACATCTAAATTTGATCATATAACAGCAAAAATTAACTAGCGTAAACTGAGCTAGAGAGAGAGGTTCTAAAAAGTTATTTGGAAAAATATCAATTTTTTTAAAGGGATTTCACATAAAAGCTCTGGAAACCTTTCCAGAGGAACCTTCCAAAGTGATTCGCCGTTTCTTCTTCAAAACGTAGGGGATAGTAAGTAGTTTCTGATACGGATGACGAATTCGTATTGCTATTAAGGATATCGTTTTGATGACAGAGAGCTTTTTTGGTCAAAACATTTTTTCAAATGAACGGATTCTAATCTGTCAGTATTGTAGAACATGTTGTGTTGCACATAAAAAACAATTTTCCACCATCACGATCAAGTTTTTAGCCAAATGTAATATAATTAATAAGTGAAGAAGTTCAGTCAAATACATATTTTATCTTTCTTTCATTCTTCCTCCTCAAATGTCTGTAAACGATTATTCTCCTACAGCTTGTCGTTTTCAACAGTTTCTCCAAAGGGATAATTATCCATGTCACCGTATAAAAATAGCTATACTTTACAGTGTATGCATTTGACTGAACTTTTTCGCTTATTAATTATGTTATATTTGCCTAAGAACTTGATCGTAATGATTGAAAATTATTTCCTATGAGCAATACAACACGCTCTACAACATTCACAGATTAGAATCCGTTTATTAAAAAAAAACGTTTTGGCCAAAACAACTCTCCATCATCAAAATGATACCCTTAACAGCAATACAAATTCGTGACCAGTATCAGAAACTATCTACTATTCACTACGTTTTGAAGAAGCGACGAATCACTTCAGAATGTTTCATCGTCGGAAACACTTTTGAAATTAATAACGATTCTGTATGAAGACACTTCAGACAAACTATTCATGAAAAAAAAAATTAAAATTGATTAGAAGTCATGTTTAGTTAGAAGAGTCTTTCTCCTTAATGATACACATGTATTCATTTAAAATACTCAAAAAGGTTATCATGTAATATTATTAATTTGCTCTGTAAGATTTTGAATCTGATTTCTAAAATGATAACTTTGCACACAAAAGAGTGAGAAATCAATTACCCAATTTTTGATAATCATAAAAGATATGACATGTTAGTTTAAAACTTCAAGTTAGTTTAAACACTAAACATTTTTTAATAGTCATTTTGATTTCTCAGAGGTATAACAAAATTATCCATCAAAATAAAGTTTATTGAACGTTTCTATTTTGTGTTTCATTGTTTTGTTAACTATCATCAAATCAGAACACGGAATAAAAAATAGTCTTTTTTCTCTTTTTTTCTTCTTTTGATCCGTACGTTGTTTTTCTTCAATAATAATATAAACCGCACTGAATGCGCGAAGGGAAGAAGAAGAAGAAAAAAAAAACTAAAAAACAAGAAAAAAAAATGAAAATCATATGGCATGATTATCATGTTCAAGGTGAAGAAGGAGAAAAAAAAGAAACCAAATGAGTATCAACAAATATGGCATGTCTGAATAAAATTATTAATATGGCGTGTTCTTAAGATTATTTAGTCATCTATTATCAACTTATTTTAGCATACCTAAATTTAGTCATGTCTATTTTATGAATAATAGACATGGTTTATAATGAATGTTTTTAGAGAGAACATAATTCAACATAGAAACGATAAAAGAAGAGAGAAAATGATTAATTCATTAGATCTACATTTAACAGAAAAAAAAATTAATAATGATGATTGTTCATAAAGAGTAGTCAATAATATCAAAAATATTTACTAATAATTCATTTTTTTTTTCAACTATTCAAACATTTTTCTGTTTAATAGTTTACTTACATTTAATAAGAATCATTAAACTTTTAACATATCGTACTTCACACGTGACTTTTAACGATGATTTATTGTGTCCAATTTGTACTAGACAATATGTTGATGCAACATAAAATGTGTCCGCATATTTGATACCTTCATTATGCACTTCTGTATTTACAATATAATGTGAATTATATTTTTCATTTTCAATTATCTAAAACAGTATACATAATTAAAAATAGAGTAAAAATATGTAAAAAAATAATAATACAATATACCTGTTTTTCTGTACTAAATATTGTATTATTGCCTAAAACAGCAGCTACCGATACTTTATAAGTTAATTGTCGTTCACGTTTATTTGTTTGAGAATTTATTTGCCAATCAGTTGCTTGATAATCTAAACAAAAATTAAATATTAAATATTATTGTTCTCCTATTTATTGTATAAAATAAATAATTATACCTTTTATTCTTCTTGCTTGTCTATAGGCAGTAATTAAATCATTAATACCAAATATATAATCAAATAATTTTTCTACAGACATTTGATATGTACGTTCAATTAAATTTGTAGCTAAATGTGTTTCACATGGACATTGATTCAAATAAATAATATCTGTTTAAAATATGTAAAAATATAAGTTTAAATATATAAATTAATAATTATTATTTTATTATTATACCTTTTATTGGACTAGATAGATGATCATTATCGTATGATAATGCATTGGACATTGTAGTTATATTATTATTCTTCGATTTTTCATCATTAACCATTTTTATTTGCTGTTGTTGTGACAATTGTCGAACTAAAGTATTTGTAGTCGATTTATTTTGTTGTTCGTTATTATTATTTTCATCGTCAATAATATCAGTTGGATCTTGACAATAAAATGTTGGATTTTGACGCTAAAACAAAGATTTAAGATTTTTTTTTTATAGATTATAGGAAAAAAAAAATAATAAATTCTAGAAATGAATCAATAATCGATTGAACGAAAAAAGAAAAAAGAAAAAAAGATTAAAAGAGCAGTACTTCGAACTCAAAGTATCACTCAAGATAAAATCTAGAAAAATGAGTTTATAAAATTTTGTTACTTAATGAAATTTAATTTGAATTTTTTTTTTAGAAACGTTTTAGTTAGTTAGTTAGTTAGTTAGTTAGTAAAGATTATTGAAGATAAACATAAGAATTACTTCTAAGATCTCTCTTTGATGTTGGCATAATTTAAAAGGCTTATAAGAGTAAAATATGATTATATCAATGTGAAATTTTTCTTTTTCTTTCTTGATTTCTAGTCAATATCAAATGTTATCTAGTAGATTGGTAAATTGAGAAGAAAAAAATATCTGAACATTAATGACTCTTTCATAGAATATTACAATAATTTTCAATATGTGAGTATATCTATTATTTTCCAGTATTCTATAAAATATTCTAAAGTTTGAACTTAAATAAATACAATCTCAAATATTGTTAAAATTGTACGTTTTAGTATTATCAAAAAATATCATTATTTCTCTCAAAAACATATCTCTTATTCTCTACGATTTCATTTTTATGAGAAGAACAAATGAACAGTGAAGCAAACTATTGGTACAATATTTCAATAAGAAGAACTATGATCCTTCAAAACACTACATGATCGGTACTTCGCGCAAAGATGCTGATTTTCCGTCAGAAAGAGATGAAGTTTAATTAATATTTTTAATCGTCTTTCAAATGGCATGTCGATTATGAGTGTATGCTTGGTAGTTCGTAACAAGTAAAAAAAAAATTATCTAATAATCATTGAATAATTTTATTCCAGTATTTTTTCTTTTCTTCTTTTTATTCATTGTGAGAGAGAAAAAAAAAAAGAGGACTTTTTTTATCATAGTAGAGAAGAAAAAAAAAGAAAAAATGGTTCGATCAAAGGAGCAATGTGTACATGTATACATTTAACCTAAAACACTCAAACAAACTGACATGTATCAATTTTTCTTTGAGATGACACTTCGCAAGGTCAGAATTAATCTTAATATGACACATATTGTACCAATTCATTACACTAGATATTCATTTTTCTCTTCAAAATAGAATCTTAGATTGAAATATGAGGACAAGTTTCATTGTAGTATCAATCATCATTTTTATTTTCGTATTTATTACACGATATACTTTAATGAAAAGGGTATTAAATCTCTGAAACTTTTTTCCGTTGACATCAACATTAATAATATCTCTTTTTAAAATCAAACCCATTATTTAAAAAAATATGTTCAAATCAAATTTATTGACTCTAGATCTGACCGATTTTTCTAGGGTAAAAGAAGAAAAAACGGATATTATAACATATTGAAATTCTTCTCATACATTTTTTTTTTCTTTAGTAATTTCGAATGTTATTAGTCACGGCAACTGATAGAATTTTTTCTTATTTTCAAAAGAAATAAAAATCTCGTTTCCGGAATCAATTATTTGATCGAAAAAATAAAAAAAAATTACCTCGTTGTTTTTCGTGAATTTGTTTTTTTTTTTTTTGGGCCTTTTCAATATAGAAGATACATAAAAAAAAGCAACGAATTTATAAACCTTATCCACTTGTTAAAATAATTTAATGATGACATCTATTTAATAGCAATATGAGAAGCATTGACTCGATTATTTTTTTCTTTTTTTTTATCACATGTGTTTTATTGTTAAGAAAAGGCACAAAAAAAAGTATCTCTCGAGCTATCATTCAATGATAGCATTGGTAAAATGCTTACCATTACTATTATATAGGACATCTATTTTAAAAGAAAGAGTGAAAACAAACAAAGAAAAAGAAGATGAAAAGAGATCATCATTGTTTAATGTTTACTTTTTTCTTATTGTGCGATAAAAAACATGCAAGAAAAAAAGTACTAGATTTTTTAGATTTTTTTCTCTAAAATTTAATTGTTAGAAGGAAGAAATTTATAAAATTATTTAAATTGAAAGTAATAGAAATTGATTCTCTCTTAAAAAAAGGAATTAATATATAATCAATTAGTAGAAGTGTATATAAATCTTATAATGTGAACAAGAGTGGATTCTTTACTTACCTTAATCCAGATGCCTATGCTATTTGGAACGGGCATCAGTTGGACCTAGTTATTGGAGTTTCGTAAGTTTTCTTATTTAACTATACTAATTGCTTCAAACAAGGATCGATAAAAAAAAGACAGTTATTTTAAATGTGTCAAAAGATTCACCGTTCATTTCTCTACAAAACTAAATTGAATGTTTTATTAAAAAATACAAAAGTGAAACATCAGGGCCGTAGCTCGACATTAAAGCAGAAGGATACGGTAAAAAACTTATTCAGATATTTTATGAGTTTGTTTCAAAATTTTACCTTGTAAAGTGACAGTTTTATATTTCAAAAAAATATTTTGCTAGAGGAAAAAAATCTCGAAAAGTAGAATGAGAGAAGTCAAAGAATTAAGAGAAAGTCCAACATAATCAACTTTCTACGGGTTCTTTTTTGATGTTACGTAATCAGACCTTTGATGTGTAAAATGAGAGTTTGAAATGTACCCGTCGCATTCTTCAGAAAATGTTCTACGATCCTCTCGAAACAGATCAAGTATTCGGCAATAGAACACGCAACGCAAGTGTGACGAGGACTCGAGGAACTAAAAAACTTCAACCAATTGACCCACTTGCGCTGCGTATCTTATCGATAAGTATTTGAAAAATTTTTGAGAAACTCAGAAAATATTGTCGATGCCCTCAAAGTGCCATTTTTCGAGCGCTGCGACGATGTTCTAGATCAATGTTTTCGATCTTTGAATGTGTAGTCTTTTACCTGTTGAGATATAAAAAAATATAACTAACCATTTTGTAGTTCTATAAAACTTCTATTATCTGCCTACAATTCGGCCTGTTCAGGTGTACCAGCTAAAAAACGTAAGTCCGTAAAGTTTTGTGAAATTCGCAGCTCTTCAGCAACGTACCGAATTGGGGAACGCTTTATTTTGTAGTTTAAAGATTTTTCTTTCAAATGGCTATTAAGCAAAGCCTAGCTCTAACCTAAACATCTGCCTATAATTCGCGCCAATAAGGTTCTTTTTGTTCAAAAGTGCCGTATATCTAAAACATTATGTCACTTAAACTAGTCAGCTGCTAGACTTTGCTTAATTGTCATTTGACAGAAAAATCGTTAAACTACAAAATAAGATGTTTCCCAACTCTGTACGTTGCTCGCCTGAAGAGCTATGAATTTCACAGACTGTTATGCACTTACACAAGAATTGACTTTTACGTGGACAAGTCTAATTCAAAATACTCCACTTCACAATTGGTTACATCGGAAATATTTTATATTTTTAATCTTTTTGTCAGAAATCATCATTTTGAGAGAGTATGCTCACGCCATTGCAAAAAATGCTCAAAAAATTCTTCGGGGTACAAAATGTTCCATCTTCTAGAGAAATAACATGTCGCTTAGATCCAAAAGGAAAAGGTTCAAGAATCTGAGAGAAAAGACCGGAAGTTCGTTGTTTTCTAGAGAAATAAACAAAAATTAAAACTTTAACGTAGTTTTAGGCTGAGATATGTAGATAAAACAGAAGTATCGCAAAACTTTTGACACATTCAGTATAAGAATCTACAAGGTGACGATAGAGCCGTTGTGAACATTTGCACATTGCTACTAACTTAATATTCAATTTTCGATCTTATCAGTGAGCAAGAAATCCTACAAAGGACGGGGGTCGATAAGAGGCAAAATTGGCCCTCTCTCAGATCAAGCTCATATTCACCAGTCTGATGTAGTTTTTCTCGCTGATTAAAACTAGCATCTCAAAAAAACCATTTTCAAGCCCCCTGGAAA